CCTATATAATTTATTATTGATGATGTTATCGTGGGAGTGAATGACAATGCGACTATTAGTTTTATTGAAGTGTCTTTGAAATAATCGAATATTAATCCATGTGACCATGCATTACATGYCATTTAACTAAGTATGTTCAATATAATCGGATCATACGGTGTGGTGTTAACACCTATATCTATTTAAAACGAAAAAAAACGTATTTCCACGCTAAGTTACGCCATTTGTATTATTACAATTACCGTTAATACGGGGAATCGAAGCATATTTTAACACTGTGGTTCATTTCCAAAATGGTGAAAGTAAAAAAATTATTATTTATTGTTTTCTCATACGTTGTAACTTATTTTATATAAACATTTTGTAACTATGAAAAAAAAAATCTAAACAAACTAATAATATGTCAAATTATAGGCAATTTCTTTTTCAAAATTTTAATTTTCGTCATTCATATTTACTAACTTTTGAATCCGTTCAGCTGAATCTTTGTAATTCTTTTTTTCTTCATATTATTCATTTCAAATTGATACTGATCAATGATAATATTTAATTTCCTCCAAATGCTGTTGTCTTTGAAGGTATTCAATACATTTCCAGATTAATGGATTATAATGTGATGCTATAAAAATTAAATTATATAAAGTTATTTCTTTAATTCAATTTAATTAATCAATAAACAAAATATTCCTAACAATAATCTGAAACCTTTATGCCAACCCTCAATATAATTAATATTATTGGTTTGGCTCCCTGGTACTTGGAAATTGCATAACAGAAAACACGAAAATTTTCAAACATTTTTCCTTCCTCGGCGTTCAATCCACGTTCCTCGAAATAATCAATTAGTAGGTTAAGAAATTCTTCATTTTCTTAACAAAAAATGGAGAATTCAATAATTCTTCAAATGCAAGACATAGTTTATGGTGACACAAAGATTTTAAATCCGTGGGGACGTAGTTGTTTCTTTTGCGAATCCGGTGGAGTATATTTTTAATCGAACTAACTGATGGTATTGCTCCCATCACTCCACTTGGTATCTATGTAGCGCTTATTATTTGTTGTGATAATTGATGTGTGTGGATAGCTTTGTTTTTCATACTTTCTACTTAAATTCTCGCATACATTTTACTAGCATCAGCCACGTGTGAATGATCTGACGGCCCTTTAGAAATAGATTCACTTTTAACTATCATTCGGCTTTTACGTCGGTGTTCTGATCACCTTCAGTGATTCAAGAACATTCCTTGCGTATCAGATATCAATTATATCACCACAATTTGGCCTTTCATTCCGTATAATAGAATAACAATATTTTCACATGAAATTGTATACTTATATATTATAATAATATGATGCAACCGTAATAATTATACTGATGAAGTTTTTTTTTTTAAAATTATTATTCCGACTATTGTTTACTGTTTGATTCTTATGCTATGTAACAGTAGAACCAGTAAAGGGGAGGCGCAAGCCCTGATAGCGCTGCGGCAGCATGCCGAAGTAGGGTTAAAACGAGCGCACTCACAGTAGTCACGTGTATTACCGTCGCGACGCACCCTCGTCGGACGCTTAAGGGTTGTTCTGCCGGTATAGTTCGTCTCCTCTCGCGCCAAGTTGTTTCGAGGTGACAAATAATTTTAATTCCTTTTCTAATCACACGATCTAGATACGAAACATTATTACCGATAAATCAAACTTGTATTTTGTATACGATGTACAAAAAAGATATAAAATGAAAAACACCGAATAAATGTTCAACCACCGACGTCCTGTCTCGTCTACAAAAAAGCACATACAAATCAGGTACCTATATGACACATTATTAGAAGTAAAGATTTACTTAATAATAATACCAATAAATAATAATAATAATAACAATAAAGATTGACACATCTCTCGAACGAAGGGACATTATTTTGAGAGAATAATATTCTAGTCGGTGATCTCGTTAGTGAACATTTGTAGCATATACACATCGCTAATGCAAACTGACATCCGCTCTGCCATAAATTCGTTTTTCTGATATAGAAAACGCTTCAAAATAACGATGTCTCCAATATCAGTAGTGGTGGACGCTCATAGTTCTTTTCAAAGAGATTTAACAAAGTTAAGCGTGACCTTTTGTACGACTACACACAACTTTGTCTATTTTTCCCATTTTATAGATACAATGCAATGGTGTTTTGAAACCCGGAGGAAATAATACACAATTGGCGATACTGTAGTTGGTCACAAAACAATCTAAAAACAATCTTTGTGTAGTGCAATTCAATGATGAGAGGATCCCGAATTCCTTTTAGTAAAATCAATTTGTAATTTAAAAACCCAATAGCAAAAAGCGCAAAAAAAATATTTATTTCATATTCAAACCAGATAATAAAAAAGACATTTTCAAATAATATAAATCGAGAACCAAGAATTATAATAATAACAAAGTCTTTCAGATTTTATATGCTGTGACCAATTTTTAATCATTAATATTGACGTAGTTAAAATGTATACCTTAATCAAATTAGTGTTTATTTTTAAATTCATAACATTATGTAAATTAAATAAGACACTCTATATTAATCTGATAATAAATATTTGTTAAAAAGTAAATACTTATTTCAATTTAGAAAGAACAGTAATGATTTATATAATAAGACACGTTTCAGACGAACTGCCACCGCATAATTTAGTCACACCGTTTAAATAACTTTATAAACAAAAGTTTAAATTACACGTGGGAAGATATAAAGGACCTGCTTGTAATCCCGAATAACAGGTGAGGGTTACAAAAAAAAAAAAAGGTAGACTACTTAATATTTTTATTGGACTCTAGCGTAAAAAAAAAGTTTTTGTTTTTAATTCTTGACCGTCGTTATCCGGCAGTGCTAGTGCGGTTAGTACCTATTCTAACCAGCACAGTTCTCCGAATTAATTTATGCACCCCAAACATAGGACTGAATAGCAAAGGGCGGGATTTTTAATGAAGGTTTTTCTTTTTTTTTTAATTTCATCAACACCGAGTTTTCCATCATACTGCAGCATTAGGTAGGTACCTACTGACCATCTCGCATAGAGGCGATGAAGCTGCCAAAGTTACGAGTAGATACTTAGTTTAATTTCATAACAGAACACGATTCATAAACGTTTCAGAAAACATACTTTGACTTATATGTGTTCATGGTAATATAACCAGCATATTTGTAGATGGTTTGGAAAGTTTGATCACAACTTCTGACTCGAACACGCCCTCGAGGATAGGAGTATAGGACACATTGTAAATCGGAGTTCTCACCTAAATTAAAGAACAAGAAAGACAATATAATCTTTTTCTCAGTTAAACTACATTATTCATAAGGATACAACATAATTAATCGTGAATAAATTAATTATAAGTTGAAGTTTTACTGTATCAAATTACGGTAAACATTTTGTAATTATAAATTGAGTTGTGCGGTGATACTTTTGATCTTTGAACAAAAACAAACCTACATTATTCAAGAGTTATTACAAAATTACAAGATATTAATTTAGTGGTTTTGTTCTTACGCGATCATAAAAATAAATATATATTTTTTTTTTACAACATTTTCTGATTATATATATTATAATATAAAAACATAATTAACGATACTTAATAATATTATGATATTATTCATAAATAAAATATAATTGTCATTAAAATATAACTAAAGATTTTTTTGGGGTATTTAGTTTTGTATGCTTAAAAAATGATTGAGAAATTTTTAATACTACCTACTATACATAATTGCATGCATTATTATTTATTTTAAATACTATGGTTTAGGTAACTAACCTAAAAAACCATAAACCATTAAATTGCATGAATTTGCAATTATTTTTATATTTACCACTCTTGCGTGCAATTAAATGATGGAAGTTAGTATATATTTTACGCCAATTTTCTTGCATAATTTTAAATTACTCATAATGCATTTAAAGTTTAAATAATCGATATTATATTAGTATTCACTCTACAACAAACGTAAAAAATTAAATTAAATTAAATTAAACGTTTTAAATAAAATTTGATGCAAACAAAATGTGTGTCAATAAACTTTTCAACCTGCAGATTGGATGGATATTTATTATATTTTACAAGTTGAAATTTATCTTCATATATATATATGTATACGTGCCTTCTAGTTTAAGTAAATTAAGTTCAACTATAATATATATGGAAATTTTCACCGGTGTGCATACTACTTGGAATTTACTCTCACTTTTGGATAAATTAAATTCACCTATATAATAAATTATACATTGTGTAAAATCGTATATATATATAACATACTATAGTTGGACTATTTAAATTGTCACCCATTTATCACAGTGTATAAAATAAAGTTTCAACTACGTTAATAACTATACGTACGCCACTTTATCTATTATATGTGTGCTCGTACACGATACATTTTTTTTCAAATATTTACCTAAATATTAATGAACAAATAAATTAAAAACAAATAGCTGATAGTTGTTGTATTTTAATTAATCAAAAGTATCATTATGCCATGCAACAATATACCGATTAGAGTCTAAGAGAGACTCCGTACTCGAAGCTTAAAATGTAAATAGATATTACGCGTATCTATACTTGCAAAGATTTCAATACTTTAAATTATGCGTTCATATTTAACAGAATTTTTCAAATGATTATTTTCAATATAACTGCAATGTGTAGTAATTAACATAATATCACAATAACGAGGGAATATTTTTGAAGGTTTAATTTTAATATCCATAGATTTTGAGTTTATGCAAAATCTACACATAATAGTGTATAATATTATATATTTATATGTGATAATAACTACAGCAACACGACCGACTAAAAGTTTTCTATTTTCAACTAAAAAATTCTATGATCCCGACTGTGTCCATACGAACATGTTGTACAACGTGCATAAAAACCGAACTCTCACAATCCACCAMATTATACCGTTTCGTGGTAATGAAATAAAATTTTCGGCGAGTGGCAACAGTTGAACAGTGTTGTGTCTATATAAAAAAAAATCTACCCTTAAAATAATTTATTTAGTCTCATCAACTCATCCAGATAAATATGATTAAGTTTTTCACTAATATTGGCAATTGTTTTAATAAATGTATTATTGTTTTTTATTTTATAGATTTAATCTAATATATTTTCAAATAAAATGTTATTAGTCATTAAGTTCACCTTTGTAATAATAAATGTTTACATTTTTTTTTTTTTTTTATAGTTAACTATAAAAGTGAATTTTTTTTAGATTTATCAATATCAAAATTGGTTTTGTACTAGTGATGCTTAGGTAACCTATATAAAATATAAATGATATCTTGAAATAAACTTCTACAAGAATTTAAATTGTTATGGCTTGAAATGGTTTTTTGTGAGTTTATAATTAAATAAATAAATAAAAATAACAACACGACGAGTTCCACGTTTACTGACTAACAAGCATGGGTCAAATCGTTTAAGAATTATACATTCCTTTTTGTACCAATTAAAAAATAAAAATATTTTATATTAGCTGAAAAGGTATACATCATATTCTTTTTAATTATAAAGATAAAAAAATGTTTTTAAATATATATCTCTCATTTTAATATCCATATATCTACGCATGTTTTTACGGAATTACCTTGATCTGCGTATCAGGTATTTTTTTTTTTCTGTAGTCTGGTCTCAACACCGACGACTTTAGCGACGATATAATAGATACACCTACGCATCGTTTCCGTGTATCATCACGGGGTTAAAACCAAAAGGGTAGAATGTCAAAGCTGGCGGAACTCTAAAGCGGGGCGGAGTCGATTGGTGTGCAGGATCGAAGTGCATCTATATTATGCTTCATATGCGTGTACGGGCAAACCTGCAGATTTAGACATTTGTCAGTTTTGTGGGAGTCTCGTTCGCGTGTCGGTACAGGTCATCATCGAGACAATCGTCCCGACGGTGTCGTGGAGGTTAATGTCAAAGCCACGCCAAAAGGATATACCTACATTATACTGTGTTTATTAATCGCGTGACGGCAACTATATAGATGGAGGACGAGGAAGTGGCTCATGTCAGCGTCCAAAAGGCGTTTTGGCACCACCACGATGTCGTTAATCAATTCACAGAACAATTCACACGGTCAATCGTCGGGCCTGGTCCTACAATCCATTAATCACGAGTCGATAACACAATAATAATAATAATAATAATATGGTTGGCAAAACAGCTAGCCGATGAAAAGTTTCCTCTTAGGTCTATATAATACGATTTCGTTCGCAGTACAGGTTAGTGCCTATACCTACTACACTGCATCATATACCTCTACACTTTTGCTACGCGTCAGGCGTTTAATGTTTATATAAAATGTTTCCCGAAAAAAAAATAGCACCTACCTACGGTGACCGGATGATAAAATATAGTGTTTCTAATAATTGAAGACATGTTTGACATGTTTACACTGCGCATATCCTCGGATTAGTTTTCATGTCCTGACATAATTATTTTTGTGTTTAATATTAATCAAAAAATCCACTCAACCACTCGAGACAAGCGCTTGGAACGTTTTGTAAACGGTAAATAGATGCGAAAAGTTGCGAAACACGTTTCTTTGAAAGTGCACTTTCAGCATGCTGATTCTAACGAAGGATTTTTATMGATCTATAACATGTTAGGTTGAAAAATATTTGATGTTTACAATTAATAAATACAATTTTTCAATTTATAAAAATCTTTTTGTAACTTGTAACATGGAAATTTAACGCCGTAATTTTAATTAAAAATGTGATGATTTTAACTTGTTTAATAAAATATG